ATATAGGTGTAAAACACCATAAAAATGTTTCTGCTATATATTTTCAGGCAACCCATGTACATTGGCACCCGTGATTTCGACATTCCGAGTCAAACATATGGGCCTGACCCCAAAATCAGCCAATCATAACGAAGAATATCATTGTTTAAAACGACCTTTTAAACTTACTTTGAATCTATAATTAAGTATATAATATTTTAATATCTTCATATTTAATTATAAGTTGAAAGTAAGTTAAAAAGGCCGTTTTCCTGAAAATTTGCTTCCGAATTTACCTTTACCCATTATTGCATTATACAACTGATCGTTCAGCGACAAACCGATCGTTCACTACCCGAAAATATCCGAACGTCTCAAAAAATCGTGACAGTGCCTTCTTTTACAGTTCAACATAGCCGTTTTACTTGTATTTATTTCTTGTTTATGTATTTATTTCTTATTTACGTATTCATTTCTTATTTACGTGGACTAAAGAAGCTCTTTTATCTGTTATTGAATCGTTAATTGTTTTCACGTAACTTATTGTCAATAGTTCGTGTAACCGTTTATCGAAAAAAGACCCCTAAAATCAAATCGGCGGATATATAAGAATGTCGTGTAACAAAGTACTGACCAATCACGATTGATAAATCATTTGTTATTTATATATTTTATATAAATGGGTTATTGTTTATCATTTATTCATGTCGGAAATGGATTTTGACTTAGACTCAGAACTTGATTTACGAATTGTAGATAAAGGTAAAGGCAAAGAAACTTTAATTGAATCAATAGAACCAGAACAACAAGTAGCAGACATAATTAAAGAAGATTCAGTATCTGGAGATGAAATAGTTGGAGAATATGAGCAAGAATCCAATAGTGACGAGGAAGAAGAAGAAGAAGCAGAGGAAGCAGAGGGTGATGGATCAAATTTAACTGATAATAATCCTGAACTTGGGAGAAAAGAAGAAGAATTTTTGAGAAAAGATCGATCTTTGTTGGAATTTCTTTTATTATTAGATAATTTTGAACCTCTTGTAAGATTAATAATAAAACTTATTTTATTTTTTTTAAACATAATACTTTTAACCATTACTCATATCATTATTGGATTTTTAAGATTCCAGAATTTGTAACAGAGTATTATCTCAACAGATCAGGAATCCAATGTGATGATGTTCGAGTGTTAGTTTCATAATACTATTATTATTATTATTTTTTTTTTTTTGTTATCCAAGAAAAATCATACCTAGACTTATTCATTTTATAATTATTTATTTTTTATACCGATCCACAAATTTAAGAATGCGACTTATGTCATTAGCCGCACAAAAATTTGTTGCTGATATTGCAACAGATGCATTTCAATATTGCAAGATTCGTCAACAAAGTAAAAAGAATATTGGAAAGGTATTAATATTAAAAATATAATGATGTAGAATTAAAATTAAACTGATTAATTTTTTTTATTTATTTTATTTTATATATTTAAAAATAGCAGCGCAATAAAACCGTTCTTACATTGGAAGATCTTGCAGCAGCTTTATCCGAATATGGGATTAATATCAAAAAACCAGACTATTATCGCGCATAATTATATACGGTTAACTCTATTTGTCCCAAATCTTTTCTATACCGAATTAAAAGGTTTAGAACAAATAATAAATTTATTCACAGTGAATATACCGATTTTTATATAATAAATTAGAAGCTAATTAGGTTAGTACATACATATAGTTTATAATTTATATGTTGTAATTTTTAGAATTTTTTAGAATTTTTTGGACTTAAAACATTTTTGATTTTGTTGAAATGGAATTTTAAAGATGGTAAACAAGCGAAAACAAATTTAAATAAATTTTGACATCAAGAAAATATGTAATGGTTTAAAAACATTACATTATTATCTAATGTCCAGTTTCTATTTATTTTATATTTTATATTCGACATCGAGGCGCATACCAAATGTATTTACAAAAATTATTTTTCCAATCTCATATTATGCCAATTATAGTAAATTCTTTGCAAACCTAAAATTTGCATTAGTAGTTCATGAAGTACTGTAACAATAAGATCTTAGTCAACAGTGAAATAAAGATTTTGGTGGTTTTATTAGAAACTTATCGACGAATCATAAAAAACTTTTTAAAAAGGAATGTTCCTCTGGGTCAACAGTCAACATTTGTATATTTTATTTCCAAATTTACAAAAATCTGAATTCATTTGCAAATGAATAAGTGACGTATAGTATGAGTAGGTTATACTCAAAATATGTTGTTGGTTTACTTTTTGAAAAATTTGTTTCTATATCGAGTAGATAGATTTTAAAAACTTAAAACATATTGTAGAGTAAAACCTATTTACACCATATTTTTTCTTTGCTAATTTCATTTTAGTAAAATTTAACTTTAAGTTTATTTCATGAAATGAAAGTCTCTAGATACACCATTTCTTTCTCTTACTTAATTGTAAGTTCGATTTTTTAACTCCTACTTATTTTCTAAATACGCTATTTCTTCACTAATTCTGAAACCTCCCAATGTCAAATATTTTTATCATAATGATCTGGTATATAAATAAGAAAAAAAAAATCGGTTATGTCAGAAGTTATCACAAGTAAATATCTAGGTTCTTCAGTTAAGCTGTTAAGCTAACCAAATAAATAAAAAATTTCATCGGCTTGATCGTAAATTTTAAATCGGCCAGGATCACTACAAGGCCTTTTTTGCCATGTCCAAGCTGTCCACAACCTTAAATATTTTAGTAATTGAAATAAAAATTATGTGATTATACTATTTGTTTAATTCTAAACATTTTTGCTTAGAAAGTTTAAATAGGTTATCTTAATAAAAATTTTGAGTAAATTCAGTTTACTTTTTTGTCCAAAATGTCAACTCATGTCCAAAGCTGTCCGACGACAACACTGGGTTTGATTATTATTATACAATTAGGTATCGTCAAGCGAACACCTACTTAGAAATATTGAATTTCAGAATGACAAAAAGCTAAAAACATACGATATCATCATGAAATAAATTTTTCAAGCTAATAATCATTTGCAGTACTCATAAATTATCTGCAAAATGGTCACTCTAAACAATGATTTTAATAATTACTGTTCTTGTTGCACGTATGTAGAGCTTACGGATTCTTTATTCGAATAATATTCGAATAATTTAGATCGGCAAATATCTATTCGAATACTCACCGAATGACTAAATTATTCGAATAAGTACTATTTTATTCGAATAACATATATTTATTCGAATAAATTTGGTTATTCGAATAAGATTTGTTATTCGAATTATTCGTCAGACAATTATTTATTCGCCGAATAACAATGAATACGAAGCTCTACATATTCACCCACAAAATTTTCCGGCACGTGATTTTTTGTGACATTAACCAATTAAAATTTAAGATCAGATATAACGTAAAAATCACGTTTTTTGAATAAATCGTAAATTTTGGTGTAAGACGTTAAACTTCCCGGTCCTAACTTGATGATCCTGGCCGATCAAAATTTTTCGACCGGCCTAACCAATTCTTAATGCCGGGCCAAACTAATTCTTAATACCGGCTAAGCCAGCTTAGCCGCGGCTGCTTAGCCGGTTTCTAGTTGTAGTGTAGAAACGCAGTTTTTCAATATATAATGTCGGGGGTGATGCTGAAATTTTAACTTATTTTAATATGAAATTTTAAAAAATTTTTAGCCCGTTTTTTTTACAGCTTTTTTTTTTAAACAAATAAAAATAAATAATGAAATACTCTATAGTAAAGA